GTTGAGGGGCTGGGCAGGGCAGGAGGAGGCTCTTGAGCGGCTGGTCAAGGCAGAGGTGGGGGGCTGTCGAGGGCACAGGCTGGGCAGGGGGGAGCTCTCGAGCGGCTGGCCAGGGCAGAGGTGGGGGGGGCTGTTGGGGGCACAGGCTGGGCAGTACAGGGTAGGCTGAGTGTGTTGGGCTGGAGGCCACCTCCAGAGCCCTGACCCTGGGTAGCGAGCTGCTGTGCTGTGGGTTTGCCCCTTTCCCTGCTGGCCGGGGGCCTCTCACCAGCTGTTCCTGGGGTGGCAGCCGCAGAAGGAGATGTTCTTCATCTGGAAGAAGTGGCTGCATTGCTCATACTGAAAAGGAAGCAGCAGTCAGAGATGATCTGAGCCCCGGGGCACCCGGTCTGCAGGGAGCAGCCGCCCCCTCTAGTGACAGGGCACCCCCATCCGTCCGTCCGTCAGACCCCCACGCCCTCATCAGAGCATCTCTTCCCCCCTTGTACCAGCTCTAACCTTATTCGGTGTGTGTCTAACCCTCCTGCTGTTTGAGTCTGTCTGCACGGCACATGACCCCCTCTGGCCCCGTCTCTCCACCTCGGGCCGGGCCGGGCCCCTGTCTCTCCCCCCCCTCGGGCCAGGCCCCATCTCTCCGCCTCGGGCCAGGCCCCATCTCTCCACCTGGGGCCAGGCCCCATGTCTCTGTGTCACGCCAGACCCCTCAGTGCTGCTCCATCTCTCCGCCTTGGGCCAGGCCCTACTGCAAAGCTCTCTTCTGCCAGACGTGGGGACAAGGGTTTGGCCTGTGTCACTGTCACTCCAGATCCTGCCCCTGGCCTGGCTCCAGCTGGGGCCAAATCTCCTGTTGCTGTGTCTTGGTCTGATTCTTGGGCACTTCCTGCACGAGGCCATGGGCACCCCTTGCCCCACTTCAGACCATTTCTCCAGTTTGTCCAGATCAGTTTGAATTTTAATCCTAACCTCCAAAGCACTTGCAACCCCTTCCAGCTTGGAACTGTCCGCAAACTTTATAAGTGTTCTCTCTCTGCCATTATCTAAATCATTGATGAAGATACTGAACAGAACCGGACCCAGAAACGATCCCTGCGGGACCCCACTCATTATGCCTGTCCGGCTTGACTGTGAACCACTGATAACTACTCTCTGGGAACGGTTTTCCAACCAGTTTTGCACCCACCTTATAGTAGCTCCATCTAGGGTGTATTTCCCTAGTTTGTGTATGAGAAGGTCATGCGAGACAGTATCAAAAACCTTGCTAAAGTCAAGACATACCACAGCTACCACTTCCCCCATCCGCAAGGCTTGTCACCCTGTCAAAGAGAGCTACCAGGTTGGTTTGACACGATTTGTTCTTGACAAATCCAGGCTCACTGTTACTTATCACCTGATTATCTTCTCAGGGTTTGCAGCCAATCATCCGGCCAAGGGCCCTGTCCCCCCGCCCCGCCCCAGCCCAGAGCTCCCCAGCCTCCCTCACCTCGTCGTCCCGGCTGTACTCATTCGCCGTCAGGATCAGCTTGATGCCCTGCAGCGTTATCTTCAGGTCACAGGTGGCCGGTGGGCGCAAATGCACCGTCAGCTTCCTGGTGGTGGCGATCTGGAAATGCCCAGGTAGGGTGTAAGCGGGAGGAAGGGGCCTGGCTGGGAGCAATGGAAGCAGGCTGCTAGTCAGGAAAGGACCCACCTTCTGCAGGCGCGCTTCCCACCGTCCAGTGCCCCCGGGAGCCAGGCCAGACAGCTAACGCTCCTGCCCCGCTCCCTGCAGTGCCTCTCGAGTCAGAAACTGATTCTGACCCCCTGGGTAACACCGACTGGAGACCCTCGCCCCGTGCTTCCTGCATCCAGCCCGACCCTGAGACAGACCCGGGTCAATTGTTCCCGTGGTTAACTGGCCTCACTGGTAAAAGCTGAATGTGCCTGGCTCCAAGCTGCCAGCCACTGGCTGTGTTGTGTCTTTGCTAGCCTCAGGAGCCATCGGCTAGCAAAACCCTTCTCCCCAGGGAGAGACAGACTGGGGCCAAGTCACCCTTCACTTTTCTGTTGAGCTCTCACCCTTTAGTCAGGCTCCCGGCTCTTCTCTGGCCCCTCTCCAGTTTCTCCACACCCTTTCGATGTGTGGACACGAGACCTGGGCCCCGCCCTCCCGGGACAGTCTGACTGGTGGTGGCAGCACCTCTGCACGACTCACTACTCTGCCCCTCGTACGGCTGGGGACGGCACTGGCTTTCCTAGCGACAACATCACCCTGGGAGCTCGCACAGGGCTGCTGGAACGAGGGTGCTGGGCGGGGGCAGCAGCCCCAGGCTTGGAGTAATAATAGCAACCAAATGCTTGGCCTCCATCGCCTACAGGGCCCGTGGTTTTGTTCAATGGCTTTCAGCTCCCACGGGTGACCCGACGACCCAACGTTATCAGGACCAGCCCGATATTAGGGGCTTTGTCTTATATAGGCAACTATTTCCCTCCCCCCATCCTGACTTTTCACATTTGCTGTCTGGTCCCCCTACAGCGCCCCGGAGCTCACGTTCAGCTAGTTTCCACCACGACCCGTAAGCCCCTGGCAGACTCACTGCTTTGCAAAGTCCAGCCCCCCCGCCCACGAGTGTGCCCGCCATTCTTGGCTCCTAACGCCTGCTCTTGCATTTCACTGTGTTAAAACATGGGGTTCAGTGCAGCAGAGAGCGGCCCCACCACCATGTACTGGTCCAGCACTGCCTGTATCTTCTGCAAACGTCACTCACCGTTGCTTTCTGTTTTCTTCCTGATCACTGAGGCAGATACTGAGTAGCACTGGGCCTAGAGCAGATCCCGGCAGGACCCCCCTAGAAATAGCCACTGGATGCTGATTCCCCACTGACAATCACTTTTCCAGCTCGGTCCGTAATCGTTTAGTGTGGGCTGGACGGATTTTATAATCGTGCTCTGTTGTTTTTGATCAGAACGTGCTGAAGTACAAAATCCAATGTCTTGCAGAGGCCAAGTACATTATGTCAACAGGTCCCTTCATCAACCAAACTTTGCATCATCAAAAATGGTATCAGATTTGATTGACAAGCACTATTTCCCATAAAACCATTTTGACTGGCTTTAATTACGCTGCCACCCTTGGGAGAGGCCAGGAGGGGGGTAGCCGGGAGTGCCCCCCCCCCCCAGCCAGAACTCCTGTCCCATCCCCTACAATGCCCCCTGCTGGGAGAGGCTGGGACTGGGGTAGCCGGGAGTGCCCCCCCCCAGCCAGAACTCCTGCCCCATCCCCTACAATGCCCCCTGCTGGGAGAGGCTGGGACCGGGGTAGCCGGGAGGTTCCTGGGTTATCACATCAATTCCCTGGGAAGTACAAAGTCACGTCCCTTGACTCCAGCGACCCACTTTGCTTGGCCCGCCCCTGCAGGCTCCCTGCAGAGTGTGTTGCCTCACCTTCTGCATGGCTGCACACAGGATGCCATTTCCCTGGTGGTATGGGACCTCCACGGAGCCCAGAAACTGCACGTTGAACCTCTCCACCCAGGACGGGTTCCGCTTCAGCCCTGAAACAGAGTCACACAAGCCCTGGAGAAACCCATCAGCACCAAGCGACCGGGTTTATCCCAGCCAGCAGCCCCCCGCTGAGTGCGGAGGGGGCCGGCGGCACTGCGCGCTGGGCTGGAGGCAGGTCGCAGGATACCCGCAGGCGGGCTGGGCACTGGGAAGCGCTGGTGTGCCGGCAGGCAGAGCTGCTTGCTGTTTGGCTGACAGAAGCATGCACATCAGAGACAGGAAGAACCCCCCGGGTACGTTCTCTAGTGCCCTGCCCTACGGACCCCACCTCCTGCCAGTGCCCACTCATCCGCGATACCCCTCGCACCAAAACCTGCCCCATAACAGCAGTGCCCTTTCCCCCACTGCGGCCCCAGCAAACGCCTGGCCGCTGTGCTGCCCCCTCAGGCGCTCTCAGCCAGGCCAGCTCCTGGCTTCCTCCCCCCTCCGAGGATCTGGGCTGACTCCTGGGTTGTTCCTGCCCAGGGCTCTGACCTCCCACAGGGTTCCCAACTTCTCCTGACTTAGAATCACAGACTCGTAGCACTGGAGGGGACCTCGAGAGGTTTCTAGCCCAGTCCCCTGCACCGAGGCAGGACTAAGTATTATCTGGACCATCCCTGGCAGGTGTTTGTCCAACCTGCTCTTAAACATCTCCAATGACAGAGATTCCATAACCTCCCTGGGCAATTTATTCCAGTGTTTAACCACCCTGACAGTTAGGAACGTTTTTCCTAATGTCCAACCTAAACCTCCCTTGCTGCAATTTAAGCCCGTTGCTTCTTGTCCTGTCCTCAGAGGTTAAGGAGAACAATTTATCTCCCTCCTCCTTGTAACAACCTTTTATGTACTTGACTTGGTATCATCTGTACGTGTCAGCAATGGGCTAGTGAAGATGCCAAACAAGCCTGGATCCAACAGAGACCCCACGAGGCTCTGCTCCCAGCTCCCTATCGTCTCTTCTCCATGGGCTACTCCCTATCAGTGCCGCTCCTGCCCCGCTTGAGCTCCCGCTCTGCATCACGCATGCCCGCGTGGGAGGGCAGGGCTCCTCTACTCGGTGTGATAATGGGGCACAAGCTTACCCCAACTGTGAGCTCAGCTGCAGAGGGAGGCAAGTTTATACGGTGGCTCAGTAACCTGTGACAACAAAGGTCGGTGGGTGGGGAAAGGGGCAGAAAAGAGAGCGACAGAATTCGCTCAAACAAAAAGGGCTCCTGGCAGAACGCCTGGGCCGGGTTAAGATCATGCCTGCTGCAGGAGAAGTGTGGGACCGGAAATCCAGGCACTGACATTGGTGTGCTGGAAATTCAATCTAACTGGTGCACACAGTAACGAGGGGCTGTTTCGCCTTCACCGGCTTCTGGGGTCCTTACAAGAAAAGAGATCGGGGTGGGGGTGTGTGAAAATGACCAGAGGGGAGCAGCTGGGTCCCATGATGCTGGATGACTGACAGATGAGTAGGGGAAGCAGCAAGCTTCCCAATCATGGCTGCACCATCTCCTGGGTCCCCAGACCTCCGTCATCCCGATCCTTACAGGGGGCCTGACCAGACCAGGCCGGAAGGAGGGACCCAGATGACATCACCTCATCAGCGGCTTCAGCCTAATCCTGGACACTGCTTGGGACATGAGACATCATCTCCCCCGTTCCCCCAAAGCGTGTCCTGCTCCTTCTCTGCCTCATTTCTCCTCTTTCCCCTCCTGCTCCTGTTCCTTCCCTGCCTCGTTTCTCCTCGTTCCTCTCCCTCCTGCTCCTTCTCTGCCTCATTTCTCCTCTTTCCTCTCCTGCTCCTGTTCCTTCCCTGCTTCATTTCTCCTCTTTCCTCTCCTGCTCCTGCTCCTTCCCTGCTTCATTTCTCCTCTTTCCTCTCCCTCCTGTTCCTTCCCTGCCTCGTTTCTCCTCTTTCCTCTCCTGCTCCTGTTCCTTCCCTGCCTCATTTCTCCTCTTTCCTCTCCTGCTCCTGTTCCTTCCCTGCTTCATTTCTCCTCTTTCCTTTCCTGCTCCTGCTCCTTCCCTGCTTCATTTCTCCTCTTTCCTCTCCCTCCTGTTCCTTCCCTGCCTCGTTTCTCCTCTTTCCTTTCCCTTCTGTCTAACAAGAGTCTGGCTTAGCCAGCCAAGACTGCGTAGTTTGGAACACTGCTGTGAACCTGTGACCAGAAAGAGTCGGCTAAAAGCAGTGCCCTGAACCAGTGGTTCTCAGCAAGAGGTACATGTACCCCTGGGGGTACGCAGAGCTCTTCCATGGGGTACGTCAACTCAGCTAGAGAGTTGCCTAGTTTTACAACAGGCTGCATAAAAAGCACTAGCAATGTCAGTACAAATGAAAATGTCATGCAGACAATGACTTGTTTATACTGCTCTATCTACTCTACACTGAAATGTACATACAGTATTTATATTCTAGTTGATTTGTTTCATAATTATATGGTAAAAAGGAGAAAGTCAACCATTGTTCAGTAACACTGCGGCTGTAACACTTCTGTATTTTTACGTCTGGTTTTGTCAGCAAGTAGTTTTTAAGTGAGGTGAAACTTGGAGTACGCCGGACAAATCAGCCTCCCGAAAGGGGAACGGTCGTCTGGAAAGGTTGAGAGCCACTGCCCTAAACTCCCTGATGCTGGTACAAGTTGCCAGTCTCAGAGAGGCTGATCAGACCGGGTGCTGGGCCTGTATTTTCCCAGCAGTGAGGTTGCAAGTGCAAGTCAGCACCAGAGACAGAAGCCGCGTTTTCTCTTTGCTGTTCTTTCCTCTCCCCTTTGGTGTTTGTCATGTTTTGGCTTCTGGGAGCCGATACTGGATTTTAACAACAGCAGCAGCAGCTCCGGCTCCAGCCAGCTCCATGACTTCTCTTTCCCCAAAAGGGAACAGACACCATTGTTAGAACTACGTAAGAGACTGCCAGACAAGGGGGTTTTCCTTCTAAAGGCTCACTGCAGCTAAAGGGAAAGGGAACCCGGGATGCTGTTGAAATGAATGCCTTACATTTCAAATGGTGTAACTGGGTTTCCTTCTTTTCTGTATCTTTACGAAAGGGTTCAAAGGAGTTGTCAGGGTCTGTTCGCTATGTACTAAGCAGGCGGAGGTCTGTGTGTACCCACCCACAGACCTTGTTTAAAACTCTTTAATGCTGGATGGTTTCAGGGTCATGTTAACACCTTTGACTCTTTGGCCCCTTTATTCCATCTAACTCATTGGTTTGCAACCTTTTTTTCATTTGCGGACCCCTAAAAATGTCAAACCGAGGTGTGGACCCCTTTGGAAATCTTCGACATAGTCTGCGAACCCCCACGGGTCCATGGACCACAGCTTGGAAAGCACTGATCTGGGCCCCGACGGGCTCCGGGGGCAGATAGCCACGCTGCCAAGAGCAATACAGAACAGGTACTCCTCTGTCCGTGGCTGTTGTTCTTCGCCATGTGTTGCAGGTCTCCATTCCACGTTAGGTGTGTGCGCGCCCAGTGTCCCGAAGCTGGAGGCTGTTCCCACAGCGGTCCCTGTCGGGTGGCACGTGTGCCCAGGGTCTGACCGTGCTCCCAGTGGAGGGTATAAAGGGAGGAGCCACCCCGAGCACCAGTGCTGCCTGGGCCAAGCAGGGGTTATTAAGATCAACTTGGTGCAGTCCTGCTTGAGTCTGAGAATCAACTGAGGAATTAAAGGCATGGGAGGGAATGCACAGAGTAGACTGTCCCTCCTCGGGAATAGCAGCCCGTCCAGGATGGAGCCCGGACTGTAACCTGCTCTGCAGCAGAACTGATGGCACTTCCTAATCTGCTTTATGGTGAACAGATCTACTACAGGTGTCCACCGAGTCTGAAACAGCAACCGGAGCACTTTGGTTTTCAGACACCAGTCATGGCCCATCCTGAAGGACCTGCCGAGATGGTCTGTCAGGCGGCTCTGTATTCCCAGAAGGTGCGGCCCTTTGAGCATGACTGCGTGCCTGATGCAGGACTTTGAAAGGTTCGCTGCTTCCTGTCGCACACGGCACTGCCCTGTCTGTTCAAATAAAGCACGGCTGTGGTGTTGTCCATGTGGACGTGCAAAGGGCTGCCTTTGATGTGTGTCAGGAAGACCTGGCCTGCCTGCAATACTGTGCAAAGCTTGAGAACATTTATGTGTAGGGATAGCTCCGGATCTGACTAAGTCCTTGGGTTGGGAGATCTCGTAAGGGTGCTCCCCAGCCTAAGGAGGATGTCTCTGTGGTTAGGCTCATGGAGGGAAGGGGAGGTGAGAAGGAAACTCTCCTGCACAAGTTGGACAGGTTCACCCATCAATTCAAGGAAGCTGGAAGCCTTGCAGGCATAGCATGTCCAGTGGATGTCTCGATGGATGGTAGAGAGACTTCAGGCACCCTGCACACACCTCAGGTGACGACTGCCAGACCGAGTCATGTATGCACAAGCTGCCACATGCCCGAGGCGGCTCAGGCAATTTCTTACAGGACTCTGAGGTTGAGCCTGGAGAGCAGCACACAGGTCCAGATCACTTGGGGCCTGGCCTGAGGCATTTAGGCTGTTGTCGAAGTGAGAACTACCCTGATAAACTCTATCCTTTGCAGAGTACAGGACTGAGGTGTCAAATTGGGACTGGACTTGTCTGTTGTCCTCTGCCTGATATCTCGGGCAGCCTCGGACCCACCAGCTGTCCAGACACAGGAATACTGGAACACCGATCTTCCAGGGGCCATGCACTTGGGGCTCACAACAGGCCGAAGGCGGGACTGTAAACTGGTAGTGAACATGTACAACCATGAACCTGGGGAATCTTCTTTGGCCCAGGGGGATAGCCACATGAAAATCAGCGTCTCTCAAGCGGAGAGCAGCATGCCAATCAACAAGATCTATGGAAAGGATACGGGGAACCAGGGAAACCAGGCAAAACATTATCTTCTTGATGAATCTATTCAAGTTTCATAGATCGAGGATAAACCTCAGCCTGATGAGATTGGCCACTGAAAAGGGATGGAGAGAAACTGCAGCGTGTAGCCCAGTCCCACAGTTCTTAGCCC